ATCCATATTTCCTATTTGACCGAGATCAAAAGAAGTTTTCTTGAGTGCATTTATAACAAACCTATGAAATGCTAGTATTTTTTCTTCATAATCTGCTAGCATTTTCTGTGCAATAGTTGATTTTGTGCGCATTGATAAGCCTTGCCTTTTCATGAACCTGTAGCACTAGCCCTCAGACCCTGAAAAAGTTTCTGATTCCCCATGTTTTTCTTTCTGCAAATCTTTTGGCCTCATTGATTATCATTTTAGTTGAAACACTTATCCCAGATTTCCTCTTATCTATCACCCACATTTTTACGGCATTTTCAAGTTTAGGCCAAGATGGAGCTGAGCATCGAAGGTTATGTTTTTGTTTTTTAGCAGTCTTCAGTTGATCTTCCTGCAGTCGCCAAGTACGTATCATTTTTTCGGTAGGTGGAGGACCGAAATGTCTTGCTGCTTTTCTGTTTCCACGCACTTTGGCGTAGTTTAACACTCCTAGTTTATACTGAATTGTATAGCTTAATCTCTTGTTTCCTGTAGTCATATTTTCCAGAGTATTTGTTTTAAACAAATAGTTTTAAGCACCGATACCGAGACGTTTATACAGAGTAGCACCGATACCGACACGTGTGTCGGCTGAGTCAAAGAAAGTCTATGTAAAGAAGGAAAGGCTCCATAGACGTAATGTGACCGTCGAACCTGTTCGCACTTCGACATCAGCTTCGAGCTTCGACATCAGCACTTTTTGGCGACAGATATTTAACACATGCGCAAAATAATTATGGCAGATGTAGAAAAAGTTATGTGTGTCTAGACCTTTATCCGGGCTAAAAATAGCATTCAGTATTGAAAGTTAACCTGTGTCCTTCACGTATAAGACGCAGGTAACTTTTTTAAGACCAAATTTAGGAAAAAAACTGCGTCTTATATGCCGTCAAATACGATATGTCTGAGTGTGGGTTTTAACAAAGCACAAAATGTTTGTATATAAATTAGACAAATTAAAAGATAAAATGTAATTTTTTGGGTTTTTATATTAATGTGCTAATAATGCTTCATTTTAAATGTTAACCATAAGCAATTTTCCTTTAATATCATCCCTGCATAAAGGCGCTCGCTAGGCATTTGCACGACGGCGCCGATTAGGCTTGGCGCGAACAACAGCACATTTCCATCTTCAAATGTAAAAACTCAAATAATGGGGTATTTTTAATAAGAGAATTTTTAGTGTTTTGACGTCAATCGATTGCGATAGCTCTGGTACTGTGCTTTTAAATCGAAGTGCAGCCAAAATAAACAAAACCTCCTTGAAAATAAACATTGTTTCGTCACGTCCGACGGCTTTTCTTCACTGTTAAAGTGTTAATGTTATTAAAAGTGTATTACAGTCCATTATCTCTCAACTATTTTGCATCCTATTTCGTAACTATTCTGGTCCAAAGAGTGAAATAAATTCCCGGGTAGTGATATCAGTTTCGGAATGAAAATGGCGTAGCGTAGAAACCTCGGCATTAAAATAAGTACATTCCATTTCTTCTTTCCCTCTCTCTTTTTTTTTTTTTTCCTAAAAATTGTTAGTATTTATTGTTATTCATAACAGCCGATTTTAAACCCATTTTAACTAAAAAAGTTTTAAAAAGCAATATAACTACGTTCAAAGCAAGGTAAATTCGAATTTAGAACAGGCAAAAATTTTAGAGGTAGAACTGTTCAAAATGAAACTAAATGCTTTAAACAGTGAACTTCGCTCTCTCTTTGATAAAATGCTTTTTATGTGTCCTGATAAAGACTGCGATACATTCATTACGGAAAAACAAACAGTACAAGAAACATTAGATGATTTATGGGAAGTTATAAATAAAAAGTTACAGAAACCTTCCCAGTTATTCCATTAACGAATTAAGTAGCGCAGCAAAAGAAAATTAGTCTGATGTTCGATTGTCAAAATTAGAACTGTCTTCCTTTACAAGGGAAAATATAGAAAGCGTGGATTATTTTTTATGATCTTTTTAAGCCAAATGTAGCCCAATTATTTCTAAATGTCACAAGTCGCCATATTTAAAGGCTTCTTGTAAAAAAAAAAAAAAAAAAAAAAAAGTTTCTGATCTTATTATTTGAAGTCTATTCCATTTTCTGACTGTATCTAATAATGATGGGACTTTATCGCTTGCAATCTTTTACAATTGAATGATTTTCAATTAAAAAGACAGAACTTAACTAATCTGGAAATTAATCCATAAATGTTTCTGATTCAGTTCTCAGTATCTATTATCTACTATGTTTGAGGATAAAGTGAATTGAAGGACAATGTTGATCTGAAATCTTGTTCTATTTGACAGTGTACATCTTTGTGTTGATGTAGCTTACAAGAGACTTCATAGGGAAGATAGAAAATTGTGCATTTCAGTATCTTGTACAGTAAAGAAAAATGACATTTTTAAACGGTATTCGTCTTGGACAAAATTATGTTGTATAGTTACTCTATGCCTTAGATTTATTTACAACTATCGAAACCTCATTGAAAATAGATCAAGATGTTTACTGACAAGCAAAGAGGTTACACTACCAAGACAGCATTAAAAAATGTCCAAAACTCTTATTTTCCTCAACAGCTCTCTTGTTTAAAAGCATCGAGAGAATTAAACAGTGTGTGCAATCAAGTAATACAACTCACATCCTTCCTACATGAAGAAGGCATCATTCATCTAGGTGGTCGTTTGAAAAATGCAAATATTACTGAAAATAGCAAACATCCTATTTTGCTTCCAAAAGAAGGAAACATCACTCTCATCATAACTCATTATTATGTCAATTATTGTTAGTCATTATGCATGCTAGTCCAGTTTATTGACAAGCACTTAACAAATCAGTTTTGAATTCTGTTTGTGAGAAGTGTTGTGAGAAAGGTAATTGACAGATGTATTTCCTGTATTAGAAATCAAGGCAAGACTGACCCAACCCTCATCCAGAGTTAAACCTTTAAGACCTTTTGCGGTTATCAGTGTTCCAGTCCAGTTATCAGGTCCATATTCAATTCAGCCCCAAATTTGGAGAACGGCTAACACTTCCAAATGATACACATCCATCTTTGTATGTTTCTCAATAAAAGTTGTACGCTTGGAGTTAGTGACTTAATCTATTTCAATATTTTAGCAGCTCTAAAAAGATGAGGGAAACTATCTGAAATTTCAAGTTACTATGGTGCTAATAAGGTATAATAACTTCATAGGTGCTAATAAGGAGCTGAAACAAATTTATAAAAATGCAGCTTGCATCGAGAAAAGCAATGACATATGTAATTACATTACCTCAGAAGGTATTACTTATTTAACCTTCCGACACCCCTCACTTTGGTGGCTTATTGAAATCTAATGCAGAGTCCATGAAATTTCATTTTTAAAAAAGTATTGGGATCCACACTTCTAACTTACGAGGAATTCTTAACAGTGCTTACACAAGTGGAACCATGTATGAACTGTGTGTCCCCTGTGTGTGATATCAAATGATCCAAACAACTTTAGTGCACTGACTCCAAGTCATTTTCTGATTGGAGCACCTTTGCTTGCCACTCCTGATTTTGACATGAGTGATATTAAGTCTTGCAGATTTAAACATTGGTCTCCAGCTCAACAAACTGTGCAACACTTTTGGAAACAATGGTGTCCTGAGTATTTGAAAACTGTTCAACAATATGCTAAGTAGTTTCATGCATCTCCAAATCTAAAATATGGTGACTACGTTCTGATAAAAAATGAACAATTAGAAAATCAGAAGAATTGACCAAATTCATCCAGGCAGTGATAAAATAGTTTGAGTGGCTACAACTACTACGCAACAAGAGCAGTGATTAAACCGTGTCTTATTCCTGGTAATGATTAAATGTAAGCTATGAAATAATGACTTTCTCCATATCATCAAACTTTAATTTTAATTTAATTCTCTTAATATTTATTCTATATACTTGTTTATGCATGTGCACTTCTATGTAATTAATTCTATGTATTGTTTTGTCATTTTTTGCACCCTTAGAAAGCTTCCAGAACAGGGGCTATGTTTATTTATTTATTTATTTATTTTTTTTGTAACCAAGCAAATTTTTAGTGTCTTGATGGCAATACTTCTTCTTGACTTCATTATAGTTGTCATGGTAACAAGCCTGCTTTTTATATAATAGTGCATTAAAGGTCTATCTTTTGTGTTTTCAAGTGGATATTTTCGTCATTTAAAACACTTCTATAATACAAAGTATATGTCTATAACAGTATAACAAAAATAAATGTTTTCTCCTCATGTGGATGTTTATCTTCAATATTTTACAGTGTTATTTCGTAACTAAATAAGAGACAGCATCATTTTTCACTTTCAAACAATCTGATGTAAGCACAGATCTTTAAATACATCAGAGATACTTAAATATTTTGTGTTTCATAAACCATGGTGCAGATTCACTTATATCACTCAAAAGATGAATTTTAAAATATTTATTATATAATATTCGTGTGGTGTTTTTTACATAATATATAATATGAAATTCCAGATAAGCATATTTTAATTCAGATGTCCAAAAATATTTACAAAATAATTTTAAATGTAATAAACCAACATTATATGCCATTAAGCAAGTTAATGTAGGTCAAAAATAAAATAATAATAAAACATGTTTCTTTTACATTACATTTTACAACAAAATAGAATTCTGTTTCATACATTTAAAATAATTTTTTTTCACTAATTTAACAGCAAATTTAGATCTGCTTTGCTATAATAGGTTGGAAGTATAGACCAATTTATTTTTATGTTATCAAATACACAAACATACATAATTTACAGTTTGTTGCCTAAGGTATTAGAGTACATTGCACCAACTATTCCACACACTTGAAATACATTATATCACAAGTCAAATATCATTTAATAAAAATAATTATTACATACAAATATATTTTATCAGGTATTTTAAGTACAATAAGGGAAGTTAACCTTGTATGTCAGCAGCAAGCATAATAAATAAAACACACTGCAAATCTTTAATCTCTTTAATCATATGAAAATCATTACAAATATTTTACCACAATAAAAAATTTAAACCATTTTTATAAAATAAACTAACATGAAAATGGTTCCTTCTCTAAAACATTTAGTCAATTTTGCATGCCATTAAAATATTAAAAGATAGCAGATTAAGTCGGTAAATGTTTGGGATTATTTTGACATAAACTCAGATGCCTTAAGTTAAATGAAAAATGGCTCAGATACAATTACTATCAATGGATTGAATTTTTATCAGACTAGAAAAATAAATGCAACTACTTAAGCTATAGAATGCAAAAATTTAAATTTTTAATATTTTAAAAAAGCTATGAAAGTATTTTACACTAAAGATGAACAATACACAAAATCAATCAAAATGCTCATTTGAAATTATTTACACTTTCTATTATTACAGTAAACGACCAATGAACTGAATACAGATTAATAAGATTTGTTTACTGAGGAATAATGGGAAAATTACAAATACAGAACATCAGAATAAACAAAAATTTCAATACAGAATACAAAAAGAAGAAGAAAATGATGGGTAACAACAATTATAGCAGATGTCACAATATTCAAGAGTTTTTTAATCCACAATAGCACATAATTTAATTGTACATATATGGAATATATAAGCAATATCAAATTATCGATTAAAAATAAATGAGGTTTACAGCCAATGATCTTCTGTTTCTCACAGACTGCTACCAAAAAACAGCAATATAAACAAAAAACGTTATTTTTTCTGTACCTCATTTTGTAAGCTGATTTAATTTGCCAAACCATAGGCATCATCCTGATGTTAGCCTGGCCACTGTATTTATTCTATTTTCAGATCTGACAATAATCGTAACATAAAATTTATAAAACAAATACATTACACAAAATATCAGACATTATTCGATGACTTATTTTGTACAAAGGACAATGGAAGCTCGCAGCCTGTGTAACATCCATTCACAACACAATATCGAATAAAAGAATGCCAATAAAAATCATTTGACAGTACATATGGATTTCCTACTACAATTAGTAGTTCTTGTGATCGAGTAATAGCAACATTTAATCGTTTTGGATTGCTTATAAAACCTAAATTATAAAGAATATCACAGTCAACATATTGATCAGATGATCTTACAGTGGATATGATAATAGATCTCCTCTCCTGACCTTGAAATTCTTCAACAGAACCAATCTTGCAAAAATCTAAACTTAATGCTGATAGCAACAAACGGATTTTTTCTACTTGCTTTTTGTAAGGAGCTATGATTCCTACATCATCCGGATTTAAACCAAAGTCATACAGTTTTTGCAAATATTTTGTAACCTGAACCACTTCTGTAGGATTAAACCAGGAAGGGCTATTTTCTTCTCGGAATTCCTCTCCCTTAACACCATGAAAAATAATAGGAAATCCTTTTGTAGGAAGCTCATCCCAATTGCTAAGTTTATTGCTTGTACCTGATGGGAAGCAGCAGATAACCTGTGAAAAATAAAACATATCTGAAGGAAAGCGCAAAATATCTGGATGTGATCGATAACTTTCTTCTAGCATTGTAATAAGCAATGGATTATAGCCACCAAATTGTCCATATTCTTTCTCATTTCTAGCATATAAAGCAGTGTTCATGAGTCTCTCAAGATATGATACTTGCAAGCCATATGTAATTGAATATGATGATCGCAGAACAGGACCTAACTGCTGTGGATCTCCCGCCATAACGACTTGGCCATTAGTTTGAGAATCTATAAATCCTAATGCAATGGCACTTTCTGGTTCCATTAATTGCCCAGCCTCATCTATAAACACATGAGTGAAGAAATCATTGCATAATCCAATTGTATACAATGAACCAGCAGTGGAGCAGGTACTAATCACTATACGATACTGTGTGAGATAATCTACAGAATCTTTATCTTGGCAATAAGGTTTAATAAACTCTGGAATTGTTTCAACACGCCTTTGATAGCTGTTTAAACGAATCATTTCACTCACATCAATCATACATTTTTCTAAAATGCGCTGAGCTACAAGATCAGCTGCACTGTTGGAAGGAGTGCATATGATAATCTTTGAGTCAGGAATATTCTCATATACCTGAAGAACAGCTTCAACCAATGTAACAGTCTTTCCCGTTCCAGGTGGTCCAAATATAATATATGGCAAAGGCCTACAACGACATTCTAGTATTCGTAATACAGCTTCTTTTTGTTTCCAATTAAGCTTGTCATTTTTCCAGTGAACTGTTTTACTAACTAGAGGCTTAAGTTCAGTTTTCTGACGTTTCTTAGAACTATTGAGATGAGTAGTGGAAGTCACTTGAACAAGTGAGTCTTTCAGTTTAAGGTATGCAGGAAATATTGCATACTCATGATTTTCAGATACGTGGTGCACACATTGATGCAAGCGCTTGAAATTTGTTCTGTTCAATTCAAAACGTACATCAAACATTTCCCCATCATAACTGTCATGAAAAGAGTCGCTAAACTTCAGAAGTACTTCATTTAAATGCACTTCATGGATACATCCTTCAAAAGCAAAATTAGAGCGACTGTAAGGTGGGACAAGGATTGCTTTATCTCCAATGATCAAGGAAGGACGACCTTCAGCTAGGCCAACAACTTCTAGGCTAAGAAATTCCCCTTTCCTTTGCAAGACTGCTTCACATAGATCAAACTTTTTCATATCAGAGCGTACTTGTATTTCTTCAAGATGAAGAAGTGCACGAAACTTCCGCACATAATTGTGCATTTTCAAATCCTGAAATAACCATGGAACAATATGCTGTATATCTTCTCTATTTTGCACAGCTTTTAAGAGATTTTTTGGTATATTACTTGGGGGAAGTTTGTTCATGAAACGAGAGATAGGTTTGTAAGGTTTCCTTCCTGGTATAATAACTAAGCTTTCACAATCAAGCATCTTGCTATCAGATTTCTTTTTAAATGAGAAAGGAGCTGTAGGTTTCAGTATGTGCTGTATGGGATCTACAATATTCACAGTAACATTGCGTTTAATAATAAAACTTGAAAATTCAAACAACAAAGTGTCTTCATGTTGACCAATAACTTCAGATTTACAATGTATGATCATATTTATGCAAGTACTTTCAGGAATAGCTTGCGCAGAAGTAAAATTTTTACTTAAGTAAAATATACTGCTTTTATTTTGAAAATAACAACCTAAGAATATTAATGCAGTTAAAGTATCATTCTGAAGTGTTACATCCAAAGCATTTTCCTGTCCTAAATACACATTTTCAAAACTCAATGGATCAGTAATACAAACACCTTCTCGACTTGATAAACATGGTTTCCGTGATACATCTTCAACTTCTTCATTAGAAGACGTGCTTAGCGAAAAAGCTCGCCACTTAAAAAGCCCTTGTACACTGGAAGCAATCATGGCTGATACCTTTTGTCCAACATACAAATGCACTTTACGGCGGCATGATGAACGAAAGAATATTATTTCATCGTTTATGATACCACAATCATTTTCACAAGCAGTTACCTCTCCCTCTACACACTTTACTTCTTTTGGTTTCCAAGACTGAACTTTCTTCCTACCATCACTGTAACAGACTGTGGCAGAAAGAATATCTCCAACTACAGGTACAAAGTCTATCTCTCCATCACTTACCAAAAATTCAAAACCATCTTTTAGTTTACCATGCCTCCCATTACATTCTGCAACTGTCTGTTCAATGTTCTCTATGCGAAACATATTCTCTTGCTTATTTGCTGTGATTTTGTTCATTTTATTTTGAGTACTATTACAAGTCAGTAAAACATTCTTTTGCAGTTCAACAAAAGAAGCAACCCAAGCATGATAAATTTCTTGGCGACTAGCACGAACTAAAACAATATCTCCAACAGATAGCACTTGATTTGCATACACTTTATCAAAGCTAAAGTATACTGATTTATTAATAAGGCCATATTCCTCAACAGAGTTAATATTGGTAATTTTGCCAATGAATGTCTTTTCCTTGGTTGGTGCACTGATCTGTGGTATAGCTTCTTTTATCTTCACTTTGTGACCTGGTAGGGCATTCCAATCCAAAGCAATGGCAAAAAGCTTGGCCAATAGAGAAAACATAGTTGAAGCAGATGATTTATAGTGATACAAGCCTGGAAAAAAAATAGAAAAGGATATTTTATAAAACAGACTTTCAATGTTTACCTTCAACAATAATGGGGGGAAACGGGTGTAATCAAGCATCTTTCTCTTCTCCAGTTTAATATACCTAAATGGAAAATCCATTTGGGGATTTCAACCCAAAAGTTCAGAGGTTATATTTATGTGTATTTACTTTTCTACATCATAGAAATAAGGGGCAGAAAAAAAATATGATATGAGATGTTGACAAACAGGAGCACACAAAAACAAATAATTTTATAATATATAAAATTAAGCATTTATCATCCAACAATACTTTACTTTGGACTTCATAGCTGAATCCAAATGCATAGCAGCTAGCTATGTGCTGTGTATAAAGACTGATCTTTAAAAAGCTCTTTGAACACAAGAACCAGCAAAACCCTTCAAAAAATAAGTCAGAGGAATTGATACGGGTTCAAGATATAAGAAGATAATAAACAATAAATGCATTTATTAAATATCTTTCTTGCTTGAAAAGATTATGAACTTACAGAAAGATTTTACTATTTAAGTTAATAAAGTCTTATAAATTTGCAGCAGTATTTTCAACCTTTCTCTCTCTAAATTAAGCAGAATTATTTTTATAATTTATTGTTTATAAGAAATAATGTATATTAATATAAATGGAATATATTAGGCATTAAATATACAGCAGATTAAAACATATTAAGTTTCCTATAATCTAAAATAAAGTCTCTAAAAATAATGCTAATAAAGATACTTTTATGTTAAGAGTTCTGAATATATGATGGTTTCTTAGATGCAGAAGAAATCATACACAGAAGCAAGGTAGAATGATGAGATAAATATGTAAAACATGAAGATCCATCCAAACACGGAAAAGTGAGACGCAATTGTGAAGAGAATTTATTGACAACGAAATGGAAGACATGTTTCCTTAATGCTTATTAGCAGCTTATTTAGACATTTATATGTTTACTCAGAAACAAAGAAATCAGTACAAAGAAATATCACTAGCTAAAAAGAGACAATCCCATTCTGTGGATGACACATAATAAGGAATGTAGTACATTCAGAAATTTTTCAAAAACAACAAAACTACTCCAAGGAGAATATGTTACGTTCTCAGTAAAATCCCAGTATTTTCTATGCAAATGCTATATGCTTAATTTCTACCAGATGGAAAAATACAATTATTACTTGAGCTAAAGTTTACATGCTTATAAAACGAAAGGGGGACAGATGGCTGCAAAATACTACTTACAAACCAAATGTAAATGAAATATACAGTACCAAAATGCACTGAATAAACTTCATGACATAAAATAATGAAAATCAAAACAGCTCTTAGCTTGGCAATGTGGCACTAAAAGTGCCTGTATTAATAACAAGAACTGCAGCCTGTATTACTAGGAGCATACAGATTTAAAAAGAAAATATGTCAAATATATAAACATTCACTCACATATACAATGAATCTGCTTTCATCTGCAATTATTAAAAGCAGAGATAAAAGTACATAGTTGCAAATAAATCATTTAACCAAATTCAAAAGAGAGATGACGAACAAAAACCATACAGATCCTCTTTTTATGCTTAATCTAACTATAGTAATAAATATATAATCAAAAAATGCTAAGATATTCAAGAGAATAACCAAAACAAAATATGATTTGTAACTGTAAGCTCATATACAATTAATTACTTTACAATAATAATATATGGATTTCTGATACAGTTCTATACATTATAAAATTTGCACACAAATGAAAATTTTCATGAAATCACCTACCACAAAGATAAACTGCAAAGTAAACTGACTACTTTTAACTTGTCAGAATATATTTTGCATACAGAGAAAGGAGAAAAATGGCAAATTTATGAAATTTTATAGTAAAATAAATAGTAAAACCATCTGCATAAGTTAATCTTTAATATAATTTTTACACTGTGATGAGAAGATATATTTTTAGTTATAGGACAATTAATGAATCATTATATCACCAGCCCATTATCCCTAATAAAGTTTAAAAAGAAAAGATTTGTATACAGACTTCAGTTTTAATACTAACTTATGAGACCACAAGATGCCTAATCTCCATAAAATTAAGAGCAGTTTGAAAAAAATAGGCACACATCCACAGTTTTCCAATCCCTATTCTGAAAAAAATGTGATATCATGAAACATATAATATTTATATCCCAGCTGAAAAGGAGCATAAAAAATATGAAACCCAAGAAGTAATAGAGTACCTGATAAGAGATACTTTCGGTAAAGAATAGGTAAACACATAATTTTATTACTGATTGAAAAAGTTTGAGTTAAGCTGGATTCACACTAGAGCACTAAAGTGGAAAGCAGTAGCCTGGCATAAAATAATTTTTGCAAACATCAGTCCACAATGAAACAAAAAATTTGCTTAAAACTATTTCGCTTAAAACAGCAACCTAGAATCACAGATGTATACTTAAGTAATAACATTATTTGAGATTTGCTTATAAAAATCCCAAACAAATTCTCCAGAGAAAGCTGAATTTTACCATTATTAAATTTTCCAGTGTTACTATACACATAAGAAAACTATCAATAAAATCATTAATCTAATACCTAATAAATTTACTAAATTTTTAGCTCTAAATTTAGTAGCTGAGCAGTCACTAGCCCATATTACTAATAGCTTACTAGTTTTTAATCAGTATTCTGTTTTCTTTATTCAATCCAAATAACTGCACTGATTCCATTAATCTAAATATTTTCTTTCTTGTGGGACTTTGGGCAGAACTGCTAATATATATTGTCAAATTTAAGCTATTTTTTTCTTTTTCATTTAAATTACATTATTTGTGTAATATTCAATATGAAATCAAGTTATTTTCCCCATAAAATATGGTCTTAAAATAACATGCATCTTATACACCATTTTGATGTCTGAACATCAGCAATTTGTTCAGAAAATACTAATTTTTTCAAAAACAAGTGATTAGTCATGTTCCTAATGGTTCTAAGGATAATGAATTTCTAAAAGATATTAAGAATTCAATTTCTGAGATTTCATGAGATGAATAAATCATCTACTCCTGGAGAGGAAACTTCTAAATTATCTTTTAAAAATTAAAATTAAAATAAATAAATAATGTATGAAAGTTATTGCATGCTGTTTTTTCAACAAAATGTACTGTCTCCTTCATTTCTCCCAAGAATGCCTTTAAAACATAAAAATAAGCTTTATCTTAACATTGCTGCAGCTTATATAAAGCATATACAGTAAATCACTTTGCACTAAATGCAGTAAGATGTGTTTAAATTATTTCACTACTTTATACGAGAATAAAATCACAGCATTTAAAAAGAAAACAACATACTCTATTCAAATCACACTCTTTCATGCATTCTTCCTAATTGAATAGTATAACAACGTAAACCATTTAAAATATATAAATGCACACAGGTTTCCTAATTTTGTTGACATGAAGTTTGTCATTAACTACTGAAAAACTCAGATTGAAAAACGGTAAAAAAAAAACAGAAAGTACAAAACATATAAATTAACCCTTTGCACTCGAAGCCTATTTTGCTTGCATGAACCAGCAACTCGAGACGATTTCAGCCAAATTCAGCAAACACTTTACAAGTACTTTAAAAATATTTATAAACAAACAAACGTATAAAAATAATAAAATTTCACCAGTTTATTCATTTCACCTCCCCATAGTCAAACAAATGACAACCCTATTATCTTTGCACCCTAAAACAAAAGTGTTGCCCCGTCGATACGTGACCATGGATTTTGTCGAAAAACAGCACCGTAGCAGCGCCACTCGATTTAAGCCTTCAAATCACTCAGCCGCCGCTTCAGTTGACACTTCAAATCGGCTGGGCACCGCAGCAGTGACACTTCAAATTGCTCGAGTTGACACTTCAAATCGTCCGGATGCCGTATCGACGAGGCTCGAGTGCAAAGGGGTTATTAATGATGAACAAAAGAACAATTAATTAAAACAGCAATCAATTGTAAAGCTAAGCTGGTTTATAAAATTATGCAACAGTTATAACAGAAGTGAAAATTGAAAGAAATAGGAATAAAATTACAACTCAAGCAGGTTCTGGTTGTCCAAAATCTACCATGCCCAAGTTCATTTTTTATCAGGTTACTGCTTTCCATTCTCCTACATTACAGCACTATAGTGAATCAAGCTTTGCTATTCTACAATTAGATGATTCCAATACATGAATGGTATTTAACAGAACTCTTTCGTTATGTTACATAATATTTAAAAAGAATTATAAATTAAAAATCTGCCTATGCAACAAATTAAAATAATTATTAAATTAGGAATTGTTTAAATTCTCTATACATGACATCTTTCTGATAAGGTGAATGCTAAAGCATAATTTTAAAATATTATAATAAAACACTTTAGCATATAATATCATTACTTTTGTTAAATATATCATATATCCCCCCTTATTTGATTTCTCTGAATAATAAAGTACATTTTAAGACTCAAATACTAAAATAATTAAAAAAGCAACATTAATTGAAAAACTAATAATAGACAGCAAAATTGCTAAGAAATTATCATAATAAAATATAGAGTAGGTAGGTACACTAAAAAACTAAAAATACTTTGTTAAATATATCATATATCCCCCCTTATTTGATTTCTCTGAATAATAAAGTACATTTTAAGACTCAAATACAAATAATTAAAAAAGCACATTATTGAACAAAACTAATAATAGACAGCAAAATGCTAAGAAAAATCATAATAAAATATAGAGTAGGTAGGTACACTAAAAACTAAAAATTTTGTACAAGAAAAAATTAAATGGAATAAATGTCTGTAATATATGACAAGAATAGTTAACGAATGAGTTAGAATACTATTTAAAACTGTTCTAGATTTCTCCAACAATTTACCTTATATCAAAGTTTCTTTTTAGAGTGAAACCTAAATACATAACATCAAATTTGCACTAAAAAACTTTCAGAAGCTTTTAACATGCAAAAGTAAATTTCTAACTTAGCCTTCCGGTTCAAAATATGAATTAAATACAAATGTGTTACTTATAAAATATGAAAATAATTCAATAAGAATATGAATAATAATAGCAATATTCATAATAAAAAGAATAAGAATATCCATCTTCTGCAGTACCTGCTGTTTAAATATGAAATAGCAGAAGCAGTAATTCCATTTTAACTTATATGTAAAAATAAAAATAACCCTTCTATTGTTATAATACCTAAACAACTAACTAATTAAACATTACACCATTCAGAAGACTTCAAAGAAAAGAAAAAGGGGGAATATATTGAACTAAATCGCCACATTAGACTCTAAAACTGACAGCAATAAAATTTTACTTTAACTATTAAATCAAAATACAATAAACTACACTATTTAATCAAATATACAGCAAAAATTATGGGCTAAATCAAAGACATGTTTTCCATTGCCAACTTCTTGATCTATTGTGTTTAACTGAGGCACATACTACTATTTTGAAATCAATTTTAAAAGACACTTTCACCAATGAACCGTAAAATTTATCTTAATTTAATGTCAGAACTGATAGATTTGGAAAACTTAACATTCAACTAACACCTTAAAAAAAGCTTTAAAAACCCTGCTTAAAAAAAAAAAAAAAAAAAAAAACATCTATTAAAGCGGGAAATAAAATTTTGATTTTCCCACTTCAATTAAGATATTAACTGCTTCAATCAGCAGAATGCTTGAAACAACTTACAAATTTATATTTTCAATAAACAACAGGAAAAAAATTCACCACAAGTATTCAAAAACAGTGTTTTTCTCAGAGAGGGCTAAATTATTGCTTACTGTAAATACAATTTTCAAGACTGGCAAATGTAATTACAGCCATATGTATACTCTTCACAAAAAGAGGGGGGCAGTTCTATAACTCCTGTTCTACTGGGCCAATTGACAAAATTTCACTTGCATTTTTCATGTCTCAAAAGTGTGACTTAAGATATATATTAGATTTACATATAGTATTGTTCTAAAAAATAGGTATTCTGAAACAAAATGAGTTTTTCTGAAATGAGATACAAATTTTTTCAATTCTATGACTCAAATTATGCCAAAGTGCCAAGTTTTGTAAAAATCACACAAGTAGTTTTTAAAAAATTAGTTCTCAAAATTTTAGCTCCTCGGTGTTAACTGAATTTGGTATATATTTATTAATATCTCTTTTTATTACTAAACTTAGCTTGATTCCTTCTTTCGTAATTCGAAATTTAGGTCCAATCAAAATCAAATTCAAAGATACTTTCTGATATACTTTTTAAATTTGTATTTTTTAGTTTTAGTTTTTATAAGTTTTTCAAAAAGTCTTTTTTAGATGTTTTCTATGCATACCTTCAAAAAATTACAGTATTTTATTCAAAATTTCTCAAGATATATGTGAATTTATATATCAGTGGATTTTGAAATTTGACATATTTGTTATGAGTGATAACAACATTAAACGTGGTTTATGCATTTTGTTAAAATTATTTCAAAGACTGAACACAATGTACTTTTTTTTCCACTTATGCACAGTGAAAGAGAAAGGAGAATACGTTACCATAAATTAAGAATTCAGCAAAATGACTTATTCTTGGCACAAAATAGAAAAAGTCAAGATATATTTTTAAATTTTTCAGTAAATTTCTTATAAATTTTACAAAATTTTATATTTAGGCATAATGTGTCACAGAATCAAAATATGGAAAAAAAGGGGTATGACATTTCAGAAAAAGTCAGATTTTGTGTCAAAATATCATGTTAGAACAATGTTTTATATAAATCTTATATATAACATAAGCCATGCTTTTGAGACATGAAAAACACAAATTTAATTTGTCCATTGGCCCAGTAGAAAAATACATATAGAACAGTCCCATCTATATCCTTGAGAGTCCCAACGTATTACATCAAGTAAATTCCTGGGCACATCTGTCTCCTACTTGCAAGCATCTGGAAATTCAAGCCTCCAAATCTATGGATTTGTCAATAAGCTAGATATATACCTGATGTCATCAAGCAGAGCTGATAGCTCAGTTCCTGAATATTCCTGAAATTC